AGTATAATGAATGTCGGAAGTTACAGCTTGAGGTTTCTGCCATAAAGGGAAATAGACATTATTCACATCTTCTTTTCATCTCGTGACTAATGCTAGGTTAAGTTCACAGAAAAAAAAGAAAAATCATCACACTGGTTAAAGTTTGTTCATACTTGTAGCATTTCTGTCTTCATTTATATAATGACTCAGCAACTATTTTTGAATACTTGAAATGTCTAATTTAATCAGGAATACTGCCTAGAAAGTACATACACTTTAGACTAAGGAACTGAAAAATAGTGTCTCAATAAGAAAGCACAAAAAAAAATGCTTTGGTAGTTCAGATAGAGAGGTTCTTAAAGTTTTATCAATAAGTTGGTTTTTTAAATGTGACTTATTAAAACACATTTAGGGTTTGGGTATATAAGTATTGAGGAAAGAACACAAATATATAAAAATAATCATAATTCATTTCTGCTTTAATCTCTGTTGGTAGAATGATCTAAGATAATGTAACCTCTCCCATTCTCCAAAAACTTGTGCCAAACAGTCATTCTTATAGCTAAATAATGTCATTTACTGCCTCAAAGAAGAATAAAAAGGCTCAATAGGTAAAAATACTCTGCAAACCACAAATCACTGAGCAAAGTAAGGTTTTTTAAACTGATTTTTCAAATTTCAGACAGCAAGATGCTTAGAATGTGAATGCTAAAAGAACGTAATAGTCAAAGACACACATTTAAGGGGCCCAGGAAAAGAAAAGCAATTAATTGGGTTTGGCTGAACAATAAAGTATGTAAAGAACAGTTCCAGAAATCAGGTTTATGTGGAATTTTCAGTGGCATGCTGGAGAGATTACATTTAATTTGGTAGGCAGGTATCACTGGGAAGTTTTTGAGTCTACAGCACATGAAGATTAATTCTGCTGTTCTCTTCAGAGCGGAAATGAAGAGATTCCTTTTAGTTAAGCAGCACTGTAGGTTGAGAGGTAATGAAGGCCTCAAATACATGAATGGGTGTGCAAATGAAGGGAAGGGGAGATGGGAGGGATATTTCAGAGCAGACTCAATGGAACTCACAAGAGTTTGAAAGAAAAGCAAAGAATAAAAAGTTCCTAAAACACTTTGAGTAGAGGTGACTTGGAGAATGAAGGTGTCATCACCAAAATTGGACGCAGTACACAAAGTAGGTCTGAGAAAGTAAGCATTGTTCATGCTGCCAGCAGAGCCGATACACAAGTAGTTGTCCAGCAGGCAGTTTCAGAGCCAGACCTGGGGTGTGGGTCCTAACTGTATATTGTGATGTAAAGCTTTCCCCACTAACAGAACCATGGTGAATCTTGGCTAAGTGGAAGAAATGTGAATCAGAAACAGAGTGTTAGGGAACCAGGGGTGGGAAGTTGTGGGAGGAAGAGAGGCCAGTGGAAGAGTTGTGAAGAACCAGAGAAAACAGCAGTTGTTATTAAGCATGACTTATGTGAATTATTTACAGTAAGTTGAAAATATGAGAGGTTAATAGGAAATAATATTTTGCGAGTTGAGGCTGTATATTTGACATTAAGTTCTGGAATCAATCAAAATCTTTAATAGAAGGATGCCAGTAATCGAAACATTTGCTTATCCCTTCATGAGCTAATTATTCTTATTTGTCAGTAATCAGACTCTATCCAGTTTGATTTCCCCTGTATTATCCATTTAGCAGTGATTAATACTGAACTGATTCCTATGAAAGCAAGGTAAAATGAAAATACTCCTCCTAATTCACGAATGTCGCTGTAAGTGTTAAGATCTGACTATGTCTAAGTACATCTGCGACCTAAAAGAGGAGTATGCTTTCTAATTTTTGATCATCACCCTCTAAACAGGAAAACTGTTTTTTGATCTGGTGTTAGAGCTGCTGTCCAAATGGCCTGACACCATTGGTGACAAGCTGTTGTCAACTAATAGTGAGGCTGTTGGAAAGAGCTGCCCTGTTGAGTTCCTCACTGTCCCTACCCAAACTGATTATTCTTTTGTGATAACCTGAGGACATGTCCATTGACTTTTTAGAGAGAGGGAAGGGAGAGAAACATCTATGTGGGAGATGTTTCTTCCATACAATCCTGTCCAGGGATCACACCCGCAACCTATGTATGTGCCTTGACTGGGGTTTGAACCCAAAACCTTTTGGTGTACAGACAACTGAGCCACCTGCCCAGGGCCCGAATTGATTCTTTACCCCCTTTGCCATGCCTACCTCCTTCTACTAATTGTACAAAGGCAGGGACACAAATTTTAGTATGCCAAGATCTACCAGCAACACTAATCTTTGTATTTTATTTATTTATTTTTAAAGAGAGGGGAAGGGAGGGAGAACTAGAGCAAGGAAAGCATTGATGTGACGCAGAAACGTCAACTGGTTGCTTCACGTACCTGCCCCAGTGCAGTACCTGCACTGACCCCGCAGCCCAGGCGAGTGCCTAGACCAAGGATGGAGCTGGCAACCTTTTGCCTTTGGAGACTGTGCCAAACCAACTGAGGCACACCAGTCAGGGCTGCCCACAGCACTCATTCACATGAGAAGGCCATCAGAAAGGTTACAGAATGATGGAAGAGATAGGTGCTATAAAGTGAAACTGTTTTAGACGTTTGAAGACCCTTGGTGGTTGTCCTAAATCTGGAAACCACATGTAACTTAATTTAAAAATCGTCCTCTCTGATACCATGTTAAAAACCATGATATTTCTGGAAGATTAAGAAGTGAGCTTCAAATGGATGTTATAAACTGTTTATGCTTTGTAGTTCGAGGAGAAATACTGTCATTTAGCTACACAATTTTGGAAAGATAATTTAGTTAAAATATGGTTTTGCTAATAAGCATTTTTAATTTACAGGACAATGAAAATGTGTTCGCCTATAATACATATGTTTGAACACGTGCGTTAGTGCTTCGTTTAGTGCAGTGTTGAGAGGAGCCGCCCTGGACAGGACAGTGCCCACGTGGCTGTCCACGGCTCTGTGCTCACAGACAGAGGGCCGTTCCACAGAGTCTGAAGAAAAACGGAACAGAACTTCAGGGCATGAGAGAGTCAGCCTCAACAGAGATTTAGTGTATACTGCCTCTTCTGTGTCCTGATTTAAATGGCACAACTTTAAGGGTGTCTGTGAAAGCTAGTGTTGTTTCATATGGAAGGTCGGCTTATAGAAGTTACGGGAACAGCTAAGAAGGAAAAATAGCTAGTTTAGTAAAAGTGAGTGGCAGTGACACAGAGGGACTGGGTAAAAATCATTTTGGGTAGACAACATTGGACAAGGTGTTTCTGATTATTTTTAGTGAACTATAACTCTGTCTGTGGGACACCTGAAACATTAAATCAGCTGCTTAACACAGTAGGATGTATCAAAGACGGGAACTTAGGGATACAGATTTTACCTCCAACTCTGTGGCATGGGGAAGTCATGTATCTTCTCTGAGCTTTATTCATTCGTATTTATTTATCTACAAACATTCAACAAGCTAGTACTGTGCCTCCCCTAAGATTCCCCTTCCATAGCCTGAGAAAATGTCACTAAGGGCCTCTTAACAACTTCTTAATGAGGGACTTCCTAAAAAGGAGAATCATGAGCTACTTTTGAAGGATTGGAAGAATATAGTTTAAGTTAGGGGAACAAAATGTTGATTTGGACCAGAAAAGCCCCAGGTATGAAACCATGAGCCATCGTAAGCCCTCACCAAGAAGAGCCAGATTCTAGGATACCCAGAACTGAGTCTGAAGATGAAGCCCAGTGAGAGCGGGAAAGGCCTGAAGGGGCAACACTGACTCACAGAGGCCTCATGGTGGAGACAGTCACCCCGACAGAGGCAGACAGACACCTCTGGTCACAGCTTCAGTTTCACATGGAGCTAACTAGGTTGGTAAAATGACTAGAGGCCATTGGTAGAACGTGATTTTATTACCAAAAGAGAAAAAAACTCTGTGACTAAGTTATTTCATTGACCTTTACAGTATTTCTGTGTCATGATATTTGCAGACAAGTAATTACTAGGCATTCTGACACCATGTGGGCTTTAAAAAAAAATGAAACTGAGAGAGATAACATTATTAACTTTATTTTTTTAGTTCCAAAATGTAACTTTAACCACGTATCCTTTCACTGTTTTTCTTTTTTCCATCTTTTTTCCTTTTGCTCTTTTTTATTTTATAAATTGAGAACTGTATAAAATCTCCAAGCCCCCTCAGAATGAAAAAAACAGAGCTGCTTCTATAAGCACCACAAAACATCCCCCATTATTTTAAGTTTGAAAATGCCAGAGAAATGTTAAATGAAATCCACCATGCTCCTTTTTTACAACACATTTGACCTCTAGGTACGTTAAGAGCTTCATCCTCCAATGCTTTTAATTCTAATCCTTGCAGAGATGAAATTCATTGCTTGAATTACAAGAGTGAGTCTCATTAAGGCTAAAAAGCAGTGACCCAGATAGCATAATGGATTCATATGGTGACCTTGCAACTTTAGAAATTCACTTTCAAATCTGACTGTGCAGTCAGACCCTTTCAATAGTCAGTTAATCAATTGGTTAATACCAACCTGTGAGAGTTCTGAGACTGGAAGTTAGTAGATCATTCTGGTCAATATTCACTATATAGAGTTAAACTGAGAACCACAGTTCACTCCCAGAACCTTTCTTAAATAATCCCAATGAAGGAAAGGGTTTCATAAATTGCTGTGAAAGCTGCGATCACAATAATCATATAGTTTTGAAACCAATACCATAAATATCTATTAATGGTATCTTTCTGTTTGATTAGTAAAGACTGAATTCTCAAATTCTACTCTTTGGTAACAGGTGACAGCACCTTTTACAGGCATCCATACTATTAGAATTCCTCCACTCTGGCAAGTTGAGGAGGTGGAAGAGTATATAGTTCAGCAGCACAGCCTACAGAATTTTTAGTCTAAGGAATATTTTTTAATTTTTTCCCAGAAACAGGTTAACATGTTTGTGAAAAATGATTCCTGTCCTTTTTTGTTCCGTAGATGCAAGATATACGGAACCCAGAAGGAACTCAATACAGCTCCCATCCTCAGATGGCAGCCATGAGACCCCGGGGTCAGCCTGCAGATATCAGGCAGCAGCCAGGAATGATGCAGCATGGGCAGCTGACCACCATCAACCAGTCCCAGCTGAGTGCTCAGCTTGGGCTGAACATGGGAGGAAGCAGCGTGCCCCACAACTCACCGTCTCCACCTGGAAGCAAGTCTGCAACTCCATCCCCATCCAGTTCCGTGCATGAAGATGAAGGCGATGAGTCTTCTAAGGTACGGCTGGGTTATTTTTAGGACCTATCTGAAATGCTTGTTAACTGAGAAAGTATTCTTTGGCATTTTTCTGGACCTGTGGTGGGTGCAGGTTTATGTCAGCCAAAATAAGAAATGTTGGTGGGGGATGTACTTTCTTGATGAAGCATGAGGTTATAAGTTGAGTGAATTAAATCATGTTGTTCAATTGCATTTTTAAGTCCCTAATAAATCCTTTAAATACAGATGTAGTAAGTGTAAACGTAAGTTGTGCCCACAAAATACAGGGTCTTCATAGTGAGTAAGGGAGAATAAGTGTAACAGCAACATCCAGAATCAAGCTGAATTCACCACTCATTCAAAAATAGTCAATTTCAGTTTAACCATTTTGATTCAAAAAGGCAACATCCCTGGGGTCCAATGATGGCTCTATGTGTGTGTGTGTACACGCTTCTGTGTGAGAAAGGGGGAGAGAGAGAGATTAATAGTTATATAAAACCTGTGAGATCACCTGACCCAACCACTTCATATTAAGAATGAGGAAGGTAAGGAGCACAGATATTAGATGACTCCCTTCCCAGAGAGAAGCCTGGGTGTTTTGTGCTTCTCTGTTGTTAACCCCACTCCAGTATATTTGTTTGACTGGCTGTCTGTCTATCCTTGTCACAGTAAGTTGTCTGCACAGGAATATGCAACTTGAAATGTCCTTGGATCGAAAAATTAACTGCTGAATTCTTTAAAGTATTCAAAGTAGCTTTTTAAAATAACACCATGAAACCAAGTGCATTTTCACCCCAAAATTCAAAATTATCTTTAGTGCCCCACTTATCAATGAAGCATCTTTCCTATTTGTCCCAGTGAGGACTCTTGTGCCCAGTTATTCACATGTATACTTCTAGTTCCTTCTCTTTTTAAAAATATTATTAATGAATTTTCACTTGTGTCGGCCCTCTGATTTCTTTTCACTTTTGTGAGAATTCTCTTTTTGAGAAATTAAACTTGTCAGCATGTTACCAAAGACAGGACTGTGGGATTCTAATCTGCTTTATGTGGTTAACTTTCCAATGGCTACACAAATTTTTTAAATATCTGGAAATATAATGAATTATAGATTTATTTAGTCCAATAACAAATACAAGGCTGCTATATTGGCAATATTTTATCATTTTTAGTATTCTTCATGTTCTGGTATTTGGGGTGGGGGGAGCCTTAGTGCTGAAAGAACTGCCCTCCCAGAGCTAACTAATTCCTAGACACCCGTGAGCAACACTTTAATGAACAAACCAAGCAATCCAGAGTCCCCATTCCCAACCATCTCCTCTATCAAACTCGCACATAATTTTCCTAAGAAAAACGTGTATTATTCCATTGGTATTCAATAGCCAATGAGTACCTGGACCTAAATGTGCACATCAGGAATTCGTTTGTGACCAGTGATTTAGATACTGGAATATGCGTGGATGATTCAAGTCAGTTTCCTAAACGTGGGTGATATGTGCTATATTGCTGGGGGGAAAATATACTCCACTCGTGGTAAAGATTATTTGCCCAACTGGACCATATCTTTTTAAGTATCCATTGCTAGAATTTCAGAGAATTAATGTGAAATTACAGCATCTTCTGACAATAAAGTTTATGCAGAATTATTCTTATACATAACATTTTCCACACTCTTCGACCTAAATTAGTAGACGTCTGAGAAGAAATTAAAAATTCCTGGAATTAGCATTCACAGATTCTGCCCTTTTCTGTTGGCCACAAATAGTCCATATCTTATCATTTGCTGAGGCATGAATTTGTATGTTATGAGCTTCCAAGCCTGTATGAATGTTTGCCAGTGAGTAGCCTGTTCAAGCATTCAACATCCACATCTCAATAACTTACATGGTATAGCATTAATGCTATATGTGGAGCATTATATGGTATAAACTCTATTCTGTAGTGGTATGTTCTTGAATTAGTGATGTGTGAAGGCTTAGGGATGGATTTCTCAAAAATGCTCTGATCAAAATGGCTTTTTGTCTGTACAGGTGTTCTCAAGTTCATGTTTAGTTTAAGTACATTTTCCATCCCAAGAATATCCACCCTCCCATTCCCACTCCACATACTGTTCTTCACTCTAATTCTAATATAAAATTCTCCTTACCAATTTATTTAACTTATATTTATTAAATGGCTAAAAAAATTTATCTAACAAAAATTCTCAAGCATTCTTCATCATAGTTAAAGATTAAAATGGGATTTTTCCTTCATATGTGAGGAGGATTTACGTGGAGTATTGTGTTGAGACAGCTCCATTTAAATGTGGAATAACATTAAGTCAAAAGGGTCATTTAAAATCATTTCCACCAAGAGAATTAAAAAAAGAATATTTACTCTCACACCAGAAAAAGAAGTCTGTACAGCTTCCTTCTTAACACTTCATGCTCTCTTAAGCAGTTACATATTAATTCCAGTTTATCTAATTGAACAATTAAATGAAATAAGTTTGTTTTGATAGAGAAATACTGTAAATACATCAGTAAAATAAATTATTATCTTATACACACGACCCATGGTTCTGATTGCTCTGGAGCTGCTGACAGCCTAAAGTCATAAAGTAGACATACAGTAAAAATGTCAAAGACATATAAACTTGGGGAACTGGTGTCTCTATGCCTGGAATCCAGTACTTGTAATACAACAGACACTTTAAGGCATTTAAAGTATCTGGCATTACAACCGTCATTTTAGCACATTTTCCTTTTAAGGAAATAATGATCTAAGAATCACAATTTATATCTTTCCATTCTTTTAATTTCAACTTTTCTGCTTAAAATATCCTTAAGTTTTGTACGTGTCTCATAAGTAGCATATGGTTAGATCATCTTTATTGTTAAATGAGATGAACCTCATTTACATTAACGTAAATGCTAAAATATTGGAGTGCTTTCTCCATTAAGTGTGTTGCTTTCAATCTGTCCCACATATGTCCTGTGATTGGTTTTTCTTTCTTACCTTCTTTAACACTGTTTTGATTTTGTTCATTCTATAATTTCCTATTTTTAAGAGTGGAAATGTTACATGTTTTCTGTTCATTGAGTGTCTAACTAACCCTGACACACAAATCCGTAAGAGTCTAACATTGATCGATATCTCTACCCTTCTTATATTCCTTTAATTCCAAACACTCTCCTTCCAATTTGTACTGGAGCAGTGATTGCTGTTGTTCAGTTTAATTATAATTTAATTAACTCCTATAATTTAATCAACTCACAAAACATTATTTATTATTTTTAGTCTCTTTCTTTGGGTTTATTCACATATTCATTATTTTTTCATCTGACCTCATTTTCTGTATGCCTTTACATTTGTTTTCATGAAGATCCCTTGGGAGCATAAATACCTAATAAGTACTTTTATTAGATACAGAACTTTAGACTGACAGTGATTCTCTTCTATTATTATGAAGATAATATATTACTCCACTGAATCCTGAGTTTCAATATTGCTTTTGAGGATTCTACTGCATTATTGTTTTCCTTTGAAAGAATATGCATTTCCTCTCTGACTAGTTCTAAAATCTCTTGCCTTTGTTGTCCTTCAGCTTCACTGCGATGTGTGTGGGTTTCTTTAAATTTGTCCTGAATTTAAATATTTCTCTTTTTTATCAGTTTTCAGCCATTTTTTGTTTTTTTTAGATATTTCCTCTTGCTGTTCTCGCTCCCCTCCATCCTACAATCCTGATAAGATATATGCTAGGCTTTCTCGTCCTATTCCCTGTAACTTGTTGTTTTTATATTTTCCATTTCCTTGCCCCTCAGTATTACATTCTGATTAACTTATTTAAATCCATTTCCCAGTTCATAGTAATTCTTTTTTCAACAATACCCAATTCGAAATTGATCTATTGAGGTTTTAATTATAATTATTTGGTATTGTGGGTTTTATTTGGTTCTTTGTTAAATACATTTGGACTTTTTTTAGTTGCTTGCTCTTTTTTTCATACATTTCATCTCTTTTGTTTCTTTAAACATTTCCTAATTCCAATACATGAAGCCTTTGGGGGATCTGATTCTACTCTCTATTGATGCTGCTGGCTCTTGGTTTTAACGCCTTGCTTGATATTACATTTTTGTTTTTGAAATGATAGCTAATGTTAATTAGAACTTTATGAGACTTCCATTAGATCTGATTTGAAAGCAGAATCCTTTACCCATGATTTGTTTGCTTCTGCCAAGCATTTTGGACCATCAGAGTCTAGAACCACACTTGGCTTAAAGCTTTTCAAAATGCCCAAATAGTGCACAGTCGGGGTAAATCTATACACACGCTGGCTGCCGTGTGTAGGCTGCCACAAGCGATGTTTCCCCTCTTCATTCAGTATCATCCTTGCAGCCCCTGGGAAGTCACATGCAAGAGAAATCATTTTATTCCCCTCTTTACCTGAGACTCCAATTCTTTCCCACTCTGACTATAATAGGGACCCTCCTGCTAAAAATCCCATCTTTGGTAAGCAGTGGGTTTTGTCACTGTACCTTTGACTCAATTTCACCAGGTATAGCAACTGTCTTCAAGATGATTTCTCCCTGTTCCTGCTTTCACTTACTGTTGGCTTTTAAAAGTTTCTTACTGATGTGCTAGTGCCTCAATTGTGAGCTTAGCCATACTGGAGAGAAGAGAGGTTTTTTTTCTCAAAGGCAAAAGAATAAGTCACTGGATCAACAAGTAAACAAACCTTTAGAAAGGACTTTTTATTTACCACTCTTCTAAAGACTAGAAGATTCCTGAACTAAAGTAAAAATGCTAAGTAGGCAAGTCTCTATAAACGTTAAATGAAATCAGATAGTGTTGGAACCAAATGTGAAGTCACATTATCTACAATAGGACAGAATATTTAAAATTGTAACTTCAAAATCGGGTATTTTCCACACTATACTATGTTTATTATGCAACTGTTCAACACTTTGCATGATATTATATGCATGATACTTTTAAAGAATTCCTTGTATCCCAGAAATTGAAAAAATATATATCCCTTG